AGTACCCTGTAAGGGCTCCAGGGATACAGGATGAGCAGCGTTTGTACTCCAAAGTACATGGCATCTGTTCCTCATGTCAGAGGCGGCCATTTCTTTTGGAGCTAAGTCGGCCTGCCACTGAGTAGTGCTCCCAGTGTTAATGACAAAGGCAGATGCATTCTACTTCACCCAATCATGATGGTTGTCAAACAGAAACCATCAAGAGTCACAACTTGATACCCTAATATGATTGAGTGGAGATAAGAAAGAAGAAATATAGTGAACTCAGGAAGGTTGAGTTGAATTGTCTGACATCCTTCTTACTTCTTGAGGATGAAGGTTATATGTTTTTACAAAAATTGTCATCTAAAAAAGCCCAATTTTATAAATGTCTTTCCCATTAAAGAACTTAGAAGAGGAATGTTGTGAAGAGAGTACATGTCAGACTTCAGTATGAAGTATTTTCCCACTATGTTATATGTGAAATTCTCCAACCCCAAGATACATTATTGACTATATTCATGATAAAATTGTGAAAAAATTATTAAAATTACAAATATATTCTCACAATGAGTATCTTTTTTATTTAAAAAAACGCTAGCTTTCAAGTGTTAATCGCTCTTCAACGGGCTTACTATAATATCGACTGGTGGGATAAAGTCAATATTAAAGTAAGCCCGTTGAAGAGCGATTAACGCTTGAAAGCTAGCATTTTTTAAATAAAAAAGATATTCATTGTGAGAATATAATTGTAATTTTAATAATTATTGACTGTATTGACTCATCCATTGATGAGCTCTACTCTTCCCCGGCAGACACCATCAAAAGTCTCAAGCTTTACAAGCTTGATACCTTAATATGATTGAGTGGAGATAAGAAGAAGAAGTATAAAGTATCAGATAGGAAGAGAAAGGTATATGCTTACATTGAGAGAACTTTATCTTGAGCAGTGTGCAACGATGGCTTCCTATTCATGCCGTGGCTCCTGGAAACAACATTCACACATTGGTTTAAAACATAGTCAAGCCTTATTATTATCCCTAGTACATATGGTACTATGTCCACAGTCCATGGTCCAAATTATTGAAATGTGTTGCCTATATGTTGCCTATAAATTCTGTGTAACATTTTTATTTAATATTACAACAAACAAACAAAAAGCCTTTATTGAGGACCTCTCGTCCTATATAGGATTCGCCAGTTTACAGAGTAATTGAAGAGAAGAGAACTAAGAATACAGAGAGAAACCTATATGTAGTAGGTATAGTATTTTCTACACTGTGACTATATACAACAGCAGCAACAAGCCTTTTACTGGAATCAGAGTCCCATACAGGATTTTATTTAATATTTAAAAATATTGTTTTTTTAAATTTTAAGTATGATTAAAATTTACAATTATAAATAATATTCTATGAAAGAAGATAAACAAAAAAAGGAAAAGAGAAGAACAGGCAAGAACAGATACTTTACGTGGCTCTTATATATCCTTTCTTTTAACACTTTCAACCCGAGGGATGTGATTTCGCGTCTTTTCCGATTTTCAAATTTAAATATAATATTAAATACTGAAGTCACGTCCACCAGGATCTTGTTCCTTCTTGTCTATCTATCAGTGGGTTGGGGGATGTCAGCTGACTTAATGTACCTGTAAAACAATGGCAAGGACGCGAATTCGCGTCCCTCGGGTCGTAAGTGTTTTTTTTTTTTTTTTTTTTTGCTTATCCCTAGTACACGTGGTACAGGCCATGATAATCATGGTGGGTAGTTAGCGACTGCTTTTTACTGTAAGCGCACCACATGTCTACACATGTGAAAGCAGTTCGACTTTGCACTTACAAATGTGCCAGAGCCCCGTTTGGTTACTTGCACTCGCTGGTGGGGTTGGACTTTTGCAAGAATCGGGGGGGCCATTGGAGCATTTTTTTTTTTTTTAAACAGAAAAAAGTGTCCAATGCGGGGATCGAACCCGGGTCGTAGTGGTTGTATACCAAACGGTTTAACCAGCCTTCCACCGACCCCCATATTTTAATGATTATATAATTGACTCTATCTTCCCATTTAAAACACCCACAAAAACCAACAAAATGTTCTGCGACACTTGGATAACTGCATTGTTAAAAAATCATCAGACAAAAAAGTACTGGTAATATATATTGTTGTGTAACCATGGCGCAACCCTGAACACCGGACACGTGGGCGCGACTAACACACGCCGCTATCTTAACTAGCAAGGCTCACGATTTTGAAATTTTTTTTAATTTTAATTAAAATTTTAATTAATATAAAACTCTCTCTTGTGAGTCATCAAACAACAGAGTTCGGCAAGAAATTGCACTTTGACCACAGACCAACTTTCTTGCTTGCTCTCTTTTATTTATTTGGTAGAGAATTGTTTTTGGGGGACTCAAGTTCCATTTTTGGGATCAACAGAAAATGAAGACAGCCCGACCCGAACCGACCGACCCTACAGAGGACCGACCTGAGTGCCAAGAAGCTACAGACATCCCCGGACCAGCCCCAACCCTGGCACCAATAAAAAGTTACATCCCTTAGTAGGCCCTGTGACTTCCAGGCTTCCACACTACAATATTTTAAAGATAAAGGTTGCCTGGCCGGCATTCATAGTTCTTCAAATAAAAGATACTTTGGCCAGTAAATCTTTTTTATTACCTCGACGTTTCGACAAAAATCTTTTGTCCTCGTCAGGAGCGAACAAAAATTAAAATAGGGAGAATAATTTCTAACGCCTTATCAAATAAATAAAATAAATTAATTTTTGTTCGCTCCTGACGAGGACAAAAGATTTTTGTCGAAACGTCGAGATAATAAAAAGATTTACTGGCCGTAGTATCTTTTATTTGAAGAACTGGAAATATATAATTCAGTACTTTTGTCTGATAATGACAACAATGCTGTTAATGAAATATCACAAACATTTCAATAATTTGGTCCCTTTTGTTTCTAATCTATAATCCAAATTATACCTTATTATTTTTTTATTATTATTATTATCCCTAATACACATGTTAGAGGCCATGATAATCATGGTGGGTAGAAGTAGGCGACTGTTTTTATTGTAAATGCACCACATGTCTACACATGTGAAAAGCAGTTCGACTTTTGCACTTACAAATGTGCCAGAGCCCCGTTTGATTACTTGCACTTACAGGTGAGGTTGGACTTTTGAAAGAATAGGAGGCCATTGGAGCATTTTTTTATTAGAAAAAAAGTGCCCAATGCGGGATTCAATCCCTGTCATAGTGGTCAAAAACCAACGGTTTAGACCATCCTTTCACCGACCCCCTAATCCTTATCATAAAAGATCAATGAATTAAATTGCAAAGTTACCACTAATCTGGGATTAAATCTGATCAATTTGATGGAATAAACACAAGGTAATAAGACCAAATCCAAATAAATAAATAGTGTGTGACGTTTCGATAACAGCGTTGTTACCATCTTCAGACAAAAGTATTGAATGGTAAAATTTCTCATTCAGTACTTTTGTCTGAAGATGGTAACAACGCTGTTACCGAAACGTCACACACTATTTATTTATTTGGTCTTTTTACCTTATGTTTATAATCTACAATCCAAATTGTGCCTTATCAATTAGATGGGATGTTTGACTAGAGATGGGTTGGCTGGTTGCATTGTTTTATCCCCATCAAAAAGGTTCGGAGTAAAAAAAAAAAAACAACTCACAAATGGGAAGTTGAAATCAAGCAATGACAATAAGATACAATTTATATTATAATTTAGAATCAATGATAAGGTACAATTTGGATTATAGATCATAAAAACAAAGTAATAAGACCAAATCCAAATAAATAAATAGTGTGTGATGTTTCGGTAACAACGCTGTTACTGATATGTCACACACTATGGGTGCATTTTTATTTATTAGAAAAAAAGTGCTTAATGCAGGATTTAATCCCGGGTCGTAGAGGTCGAAAACCAACAGTTTAGACCACCCTTCCAATGACCCCCTCTAAATGGTATAAAGGCATTCAGAGTCCAAAGAGAGGTATGGACATACCTTCAAGTATATTAAAAATGGCATATCCTGACCAGGAGCACATGTGCTTTACAGAAGGCAGAGCGCCATCTGGTGGAACAGAAATCAACTAAACATTGATTTAGCCTGTTCCCTGATATTTGGCCAACCCAATTTCTTGATAAATCAAGATAAGCCATCCACGAACGCATTTCGCGCTTTTGGCGCTCGTCAGCGTGGAGTAGGCTGAACCACTTCAAAGTATTACCTTCAAGTATTTCAAGTGCAGTCTCCTCCTCACATTTGTTGAACTCCGGCACCAGACTCCTGTGCGGCACGTCACAACACCATCTTATCTCTGCACACAGGCCACAGCTGTTACTCCAGGTGGCTGGGTGGCTATACAGGAACTCTATACAATCTCTAAGACCAATGCTCCAATGGCCCCCGATTCTTGCAAAAGTCCAACCCCACAAACAACTACAAGTAATCAAACAGGATTCTTAACTCCGCCTTTGCCGGTCCCAAGCCCAGATGAAAAAGGAGGAGGGGGAGCAGTAACAAGCTCACTAAAAAAACCTGGATTCAGCTGGCCCTGCTGATAGTACCCTGTAGGGGATCCTAATTCGGGGATACAAAATGAGCAGCATTTGTACTCCATGTTAGGAGCTGCTGCATATGGTGTCTGTTCCTCATGTCAGAGGCGGCCGTTTCTTTTGGAGCTAAGTCGGCCTACCACTGAGTAGTGCTCCCAGTCTTAATGACAAAGGTAGACGCATTCTACTTCACCAAGTGTGGAGATAATAAAGAAGAAGAAAAAAAGAAACAGGGCTCTGACACATTTGTAAATGTAAAAGTCAAACTGCTTTTCACATGTTTATACATGTGGTGCACTTACAGTAAAAGTATGATGCCTACTTCTACCCACCATTATTATCATGGCCTATACCATGTGTACTAAGCAAAAAAAAAAAAAAGATGTTAATAGAATTAAGTTATGATAAGGCACAATTTGGATGGGGGGTTGGTGGAAGGCTGGTTAAACAGTTTGGTTTTCGACCACTACGACCCGGGTTCGATTCCCGCATTGGACACTTTTTTCTGTTTTAAAAATAAATTTAAAAATGCTCCAATGGCCCTCGATTCTTGCAAAAGTCCAACCCCACCAGCGAGTGCAAGTAACCAAACGGGGCTCTGGCACATTTGTAAGTGCAAAGTTGAACTGCTTTTCACATGTGTAGACATGTGGTACGCTTACAGTAAAAAAGCAGTCGCTAACTACCCACCATGATTATCATGGCCTGTACCACGTGTACTAGGGATAAGCAAAAAATAATAATAATTTGGATTATCTATATATATATAAAAATGAATGTCTGTGTGTGTGTTCTCTATAGATTCAAAAACCATACATCCAATCGCCGTGAAATTTTGGGATATTATTAGGTATATCCCCGAAAAGGTTTTGAAAAATAATTTCTTGAATATCTTGAATATCCTTAGAGTTATTTGCAGATTTGTAGCTTTAGCTCGCAAGCAGCGCCACCTTGCAACGGAGATAGGCTTAGGTCTGCCCCACCCCCTGTCGAGACGCCGGCCGGATGGACAGTCCAAGTACCCACCGACCAATCAGAGGGGTCAAGATGTCCTGGCGCGCGGGGGCAGAGTTGGTGACACAGCTGTGCCAAGTAGACAAGAAAAAAAGGCTCGGCGGGAACTTCGTCCATCTTCCATAAACGACCATGATTTTATTCAACTTATAGAGTATTTTTCAAGGGACCGGGAAAAAATGTTCACTAGATAAAACGATGATTTTGTAATGTAGAAAATTAGGAAAGCCAAGATTCAGAATGACACGGCACACAGGGACCGGGGGAAAATGATCACTTTATCGGGAGATTCAAATTTACAAGTTTCAAATTATCAAAATATATCTATTATTTTTTAATAAGTTTATAGAGAATTGTTTTAACAAATGTTCGTTAGACAAACCTTTACTCGTGTAAAATCCGGGCAAAGCCGGGTACATCCGCTAGTAGATTATAAACACAAGGTAATAAGACCAAATCCAAGTAAAGGGGGTCAGTGGAAGGATGGTCTAAACCGTCGGTTTTCGATCGCTACGGCCCGGGTTCGATTCCTGCAATGGGCACTTTTTTTCACACACTATTTATTTGGATTTGGTCTAATTACCTTGTGTTTAGAATTAAGTCAATTGTCGAATGAGAGACTGATGTCCAGAGAGAGGGCAGCAATTATCATCAACAATGAAAAGTGGTGAGGTTATATAATAATAGACATTTGAAGGTTCAATTGTGACCAGGAGGGAGAAATGACACATTGACAGCCATTGATTTGCTTCTGGTCCCTCCCCAGTGATGGGATTATAGAGTTTAAAGTAGGTTAGTCAGTCACTAGCCTGTTTCATCAAAAGAGAACGTAGTATTGACCACATTCTATAGGATGGTCAAATGTTAAGAAACAACATGGCAGAGCTAGAGTGAGGCAAATCCATGAACCTCCCTAACAGCAGGAACTATCATTGCTGTCAATAGGACATCAGGATTGGCTCAAGAGAGAGAGAATATTGAAGACACACTCATGGACAAAACTTAAGCAAGTTGTACCTTTTTAGCATGTATATCGAGATTCAGACAATAACTCTGAAAGATACACTCATGGACAAAACTTAAGCAAGTTGTACCTTTTTAGCATGTATATCGGGATTCAGACAATAACTCTGAAAGATACATTCATGGACAAAACTTAAGCAAGTTGTACCTTTTTAGCATGTATATCGGGATTCAGACAATAACTCTGAAAGATACACTCATGGACAAAACTTAAGCAAGTTGTACCTTTTTAGCATGTATATCTGGATTCAGACAATAACTCTGAAAGATACATTCATGGACAAAACTTAAGCAAGTTGTACCTTTTTAGCATGTATATCGGGATTCAGACAATAACTCTGAAAGATACACTCATGGACAAAACTTAAGGAATTTGTACCTTTTTAGCATGTATATCGGGATTCAGACAATAACTCTGAAAGATACACTCATGGACAAAACTTAAGGAATTTGTACCTTTTTAGCATGTATATCGGGATTCAGACAATAACTCTGAAAGATACACTCATGGACAAAACTTAAGGAATTTGTACCTTTTTAGCATGTATATCAGGATTCAAACAATAACTCTGAAAGATACACTCATGGACAAAACTTAAGCAAGTTGTACCTTTTTAGCATGTATATCAGGATTCAGACAATAACTCTGAAAGATACACTCATGGACAAAACTTAAGCAAGTTGTACCTTTTTAGCATGCATATCGGGATTCAGACAATAACTCTGAAAGATACACTCATGGACAAAACTTAAGGAATTTGTACCTTTTTAGCATATATATCAGGATTCAGACAATAACTCTGAAAGATACACTCATGGACAAAACTTAAGCAAGTTGTACCTTTTTAGCATGTATATCTGGATTCAGACAATAACTCTGGAAAAAGGGGGTTGGTGGAAAGGCAATTTTCTCTTCTAATGAGAGAGATCATGGGGAACATGAAGTAACTGAAGGATGTATTCCCATCTTTCACATGTGGCCTGGGGTTTGGTGGTAGGGTGATCTAAACTGTTGGTTTTCGACCGCTACGACCTGGGATTGAATCTCGCATTGGGCACTTTTTTTCCTAATTAAAAAAAATGCTCCTATGGCCCACGATTCTTGAAAAAGCCCAACCCTACCAGCGAGTACAAGTAACCAGTCAACCTGCTTTTCACAAGTGTAGACATGTGGTGTACTTTACAGTAAAAGCAGCTACTAACTACCCACCATGATTATTAGGGCCTGTACCACGTGTACTTAGGATAACTAAAAATATATATATATGTTTCATCTTTGATGTATGAATCAGGTCCATAGCCAGCCCACGTTGAGTTCAACTCCCAATTACATGGCCCAATGACAATAGAAATTTCTGTCATTCCTATGATCCTTGCAACATCTGATTCTAACGATTTCTATGCATTTTTTGGACTACTAAAACAAAGCCTGAGAGGCCACCGACTACATTGTAAAAGTGGCTTGGTAGCTGGGAAAGAAATCACAATTTTTTTTTTGCTTATCCCTAGTAAACATTGTACAGGACATGATAATCATGGTGGATAGAAGTAGGCGACTGCTTTTACTGTAAGTGCACCACATGTCTACACACATGAAAAGCAGTTCGACTTTAAACTTACAAATGTGCCAGAGCCCCCGTTTGGTTACTTGCACTCGCTGGTGAGGTTGGACTTTTGCAAGAATCAGGAGCCATTGAAGCATTTTTTTATATTTTAATCAGAAAAGTGCCCAATGTGGAAATCAAATCCGGGTCGTAGCGGTCGAACACCAACGGTTTAGACCATTCTTCCACCGACCCCCACGAAATCACAATATAAAAAGTTGAATTTCATGAAACCTTGATATGTAGTGAAAAAATGTTACAAAAGAGTGAAAGTGTACTGGGATCAGGTAGATAAATTAAGACATCTCCTGATTGTGCAACTTGCTGATGGCTTGTACTATCTGTTGGAATAAATATCAAGTAATCTTTGATATATTTATTCAGAAAGATGGCTACAAGCCAACAGCAACTTTTAGTTGCATGATCAGGTGAGGCCTTTTTCTTAATATGTTGCTCAATGTTCAAGAAATCCTATTGAAAAAAACATAATTAGTCAGATGATTAGCTAATCATCTGACTCGCTAAAATATTATACAGTAGAACTCCATGAGAGGCCGCCTCTCTACAAAGGACATTTTCCATCACCAATACAGTAGAACATACTCCATGAGAGGACACCTCTCTACAAAGGACAGTTTCCATCACCAATACCGTAGAACCTCCATGAGAGGACATTCACCCTAGAGGACACCTCTCTATAAAGGACAGTTTTCATCACCAATACAGTAGAACCTCCATGAGGAGGACACTCATGCTAGAGGACACCTCTCTACAAAGGACAGTTTCCATCACCAATACAGTAGAACATACTCCATGAGAGGACACTCATGCTAGAGGACACCTCTCTACAAAGGACAGTTTCCATCACCAATACAGTAGAACATACTCCATGAGAGGACACTCACGCTAGAGGACCTATCTCTATAAAGGACAGTTTCCATCACCAATACAGTAGAACATACTCCATGAGAGGACACTCATGCTAGAGAACACCTCTCTACAAAGGCCATTTCTATCACCAATACAGTAGAACATACTCCATGAGAGGACACTCACGCTAGAGGACACCTCTCTACAAAGGACAGTTTCCATGAGAGGACAACCGCGCTAGAGGACAACTCTCTACCAAGGACAGTTTCCATCACCAATACAGTAGAACATACTCCATGAGAGGACACTCATGCTAGAGGACACCTCTCTACAAAGGACAGTTTTCATCACCAATACAGTAGAACCTCCATGAGAGGACACCTCTCTACAAAGGAGAGTTTTCATTTTCAAAATTACCATTTTTACTATACATGGCGGGCAGGAGAAGCAGCACAAGTAAGGGACTGCCCTGTAGTACGGTGTCATGAGCCCCGAGCCGCTACGGTAACTGTGAACAGGGAACTCTGAAATGTGGCTGACTAACGGGGCAATGGCACCCTCCCTTTCCATGGAATAAACAAGACACCGCCAACACCACCACAGTGTTTACAGTCTCAGGTCGTGGAATACTCCTCCCAGTTTACAGAAACAATTGTACAAGTCACCATCCTATGTAAGGCTTATAATCTTGTAGCATCCTCTCATTGATTCTCTTGGCCACGAGAAAGAAATGGTTATTATGATAAGGTACAATTTGGATTATAGATTAGAATCAAAAGGTAACATGATAAAATAATCCATTGAATCAATATCAAAATAAGAACATTAAGCCTCCAGGGAAAAGTTTCTTTTTAAAATATTTCCTATTTAAATATCTCTCAAGCTTTCGGGCAAGAAAGCCCTTCTACAGGAGAAAATATCTTACATCATTAAAACTCCAATAAAATAAGATTTAAAATTAAATAAATTAGTTGGGTGTTTACATTT